CAAAAAAATTAGCCGGGCGTGGTAGAGCGTGCCTGTAGTTTCAGCTACTTGGAAGGCTGAGGCGGAAGGAACGCTGGAGCCCAGCAGGTTGAGGCTGTGGTGGTTGGGAGCGGCCACTGCACTCCAGTGTGGGCGACAGAGTGAGACTCCAACTCAAAAAAAAAAAAAAAAAAGTCCATCTGATTTATCAACTGAAAAGTCACTGATAATCTTAATAAGAGCTTTTTAATGCACGGCATAAGCAGAATCAGATTGCAATATGTTGAGAAGGAAGTGAAAGACAAAAATTGAAAATAATAAAGACAGCCTACCTTTTTGAGAATTTTGATGTGAATGAAATGGGAAAGGTAATATATTGGAAGAAAAAGGAAACAACAAAAACTGAGTTTAACTTGTTTTTATGCTGATGATAGAGATCTGACATTTTCACGCAGAAACAGGCCAGTTGAAAAGGAGTGGCTGAAAACTGATGAGGGCATCCAATAAAGATTTCTTTGCTGGGCGCAGGTGCTCAAGCTTGTAATCCCAGCATTTTGGGAGGCTGAGTGAGGCGAGTGGACTGCCTGAGGCCAGGGGTTCGAGACCAGCGTGGGCAACTTGGTGAGACCCTGTCTCTACAATAAATCACAAGATTTGCCAGGCATAGTAGAGCTCGCCTGTAGTTCTGGCTACTTGTAAGGCCGAGGGGGAAGGGTCGCCTGACCTCAGGAGGTCGAGGCTGCGGTGGCCGTGAGCGTGCCACTGCGCTCCAGTCTGGGGGACAGAGTAGGACTCTGAATCCAAAAAAAAAAAAAAAATTTACTTAGACTCAAGATATTTTGAAGAAATGTCAAACTGAGCCAAATTCCACCCCCCCCCCATTATTCTTTGTCCCCGATGTGTTCTCCGAGCCTTCCACGACGCCTGGCACAAGGTTGGCGCTCAAACTTGAGCCATTCGATAAATCCACCAACTGTGGTCTTAAAGGAAATCAATCAGGGGGCCCTTTGCTTCAAAACCAAAACAACGGAATGTGCCCTCTGGTTCTGCACGCTACTTCAATACGGGACTATCAAAAGGGACGCAACGAAAAGGCTGAGAGAGCAAGAGTCGCCTCGCCGGGAGCACTGGCGCCACGTCTCCCGCCCCCTCCACCGCCCGCGATCCCCGCTTCGCTCCCGGACTCAAGACACGGGACGCCTGCGCGGCCGACGCGCGGGAAGGCCGCAGAACCTCAACCCGACCAGCTTTCTCCACTTAAATGAGCCGCCGCAGGGTGTGTTTCGAGTGGTCACCTACCCTCGTCCGCGTCATACATATTGGCAGAAGTTTCGCGAGCCCCTCACGCCAGAAATCACACACAGAACAGCACACAGCAGCCGCCAGCGCCGGAGCGGGGGACGAAGTAACTTCCGTTTCCGGTGTTCCCAGAAAGCTGTGCGTGTCACCCCAAAGGCCACCCACAGAGGCCGGCGTCATGCGCAAATTGTAGGATGCGCTTGAGTCGGGGTAGAGTTGCGCATGCGCAAACTGTGGGCCGCCGCCTCCGCCTCCGCCGCCACTAGTGGCTGAGCGGGAGAAGAGCTCCCACAACCCTAGGGCCGAACTCTGCCAGTGTTTTTTGTTTGCTTTTCAGTATTGCCCCAAATATGACACCTGGAACAAAGCCACGTACAGTTATTAACAAACAGGTTTAGTTGTAGCCGTGAGCCCGCGACATTCGTTGCTCTATTGTTTGCACTCCTACAATTCAAAAACAAAACGATGCTATTTTTTAAATGTGATTTATTTCAGGGCGGCTCGCGCCAGCAGTGGCACATTAAACAAGCCAGAAAGTGAACAAACCCAAAGCCCCCACCCCTCTTCCGCCCGCCTAACTCAGCCTAGGTCCCTGGCGCCCTTGCCGCAGCTTTAAGGGCGTTATCCGCCCCAGAGCTTTCATCGCGAGAGCTCACGAGATTTGACGCGAAGTGAGCGGGAGCGCCGCGGCGGGCAAAACACTGCCCCCGGCTCCCCCTCCCCCGCCGGCCCACGTCACGGGTGGAACGCGCGCCTTGAGCCGCGGTGCGCGTGCGCGTGCGCGGCCCCGCCCCCTCGCCGAGCGCCGCGTCCCCCATGCTGCCGGCGCGGCTGGCCCGGGGGCTGCTGCCCGCTCTCCTGCGGGGGTCGGCCCTCCGGGTCGCGCGCCGCGGCCTCCGGGAGCCGCTCCCGGGGGAGAGCAGCGCGGCCGCCTCCGCCTCCGCCTCCGCCTCCTCGGCGCAGCCGGCGGGCCCGGGACGGCCGCTTCCTCGTGATCCCACGGAGGCGGGCGGGCCGGAGCGTTTTCTGTTCCCCGAGTACGTCCCGGAGCCGGAGCCGGAGCCG